GACAGTGCCTCTGAGTACCCCATCTGGGATACCAGTCGTGACAATATATTTTTAATTTTGTATTTATCTATATAAATTTATGCACATAAAACAAAAGGTAAAAGTACTATTAAAATTATATATTTTTTTAACACAAACGATACTAAAAATAACACAGCTTACATGCATGTTATTATTTACTTATATACATTATAAACAGTATCTAGATTATCTGTTAGCCTCGAGATCGGGAAGTGAAGTGCCCTCATTTAATTGTCATTTTCTTGGTAAATATTTTATCTATTACGTCGATGTGAAATACTTATATAATATGATAAGGTTCTAAGTATTAGTCACGGTTAGTATGGCGAAGACCATCTGAATTTTGAGGTGTATATACATAAATTCTAAATATCTCAAGGTTTGAAAAAAAATATTTATCCAGATTATATCCAATATATTTTTAAATTATTTTTTTACGGATGCCAAGACAATTGTTATTTGACACACTTTGTTAATTATTTAATGTGTAAGTATAAGTAAATACTAAAAATTTCTTGCTACAATAGTACTTTGACAAGATATGCATTATTTTGCTATACGCGTGGTTTCCTCTTCCTCTTCTCTGCAAGCAACGGGTAAGCAACCAAGCAATTATGGTAGTCGCATTCATCGTGTATAAAAAACTAAATAATTTTTACTTACATTTCATTTATTAACAAAATACTACATTTTAATAACTAACTACAACTAAAATAGAAGTTACATTAATCTATGCTATAACGAATATACCCCATACGTCGGAACGCAAACCACAGATAGGACAAGAACACAGTCGTTTTACAGATTAATATGAAATTAACAATATTCCAATTAAAACTGTCCAACTACTATGTTGAAATTGGGACATCGAGGCCTCATTTATTCTTCGGGGCGTGTAAGTTCTGCTCACTACCAGTTTAAAAGGGCTGTGCACTGCATATGTAACACGGACGACAGAATCAGGCATGTTTTGTTACAATGAGTATGATTGGCTGTATAGATTCGGGTATATTTCTATGTATAATATGTATCTATGTACAACAATGCCTGAGATATTACAATTACGTTAATTACAGAAGTACATCTTAATTGTCGAGATTATTATTGTAATAGAGATTGCTATGGGAATTATGTATTTAACAGTTGTGGTAGTTTTCATACATACCGACAACTGTTACAGCTTTCCATCAGGCAGACTGCAGCGTTATCAAGCTTAAGCAACATTACCTCATACGAAGAAATGTAAAATCTCGTCCAATTTTGCTGACAAACCTCGTACGCCTTCATATTTTGAGGGATTTCCGTAGGAACTCTCATACAAGTATGTATGATAAAAATCTCCTCGTAACGAAGAGCTAACATCTGATACCATGCAAGCATACGGGAAATTTCGAGCGGTTGATCTTCCTGGTAATGGCCTGTAAGATTATTTGCCTTAAAACCACATAACAAAGATCTGTGTAACTGCGAATATTGATAGATAGAATTTCTTTTACATATTCAAAATGGTAGGTAGTGTAATAAATTCCTTTGGTGAATAAATTACATAGGTAAGTTATATTAAATATACGTGGTTATGTATATTAGGTAATAAATTACAAACTACATAAGTATCTGTTTTAAATTTTTTGATATGACGTACCACTGATATTTCTGCAGAGCGTAGATATATAATTGTCAGAAATTTATTCATCAATTATAAGATTATTTTTGATTAATATTTAAATATGTTACAATTGCATTTTAATGGAAATACATTATAACAGATAGGAATCTATTCATAAATCAATGAAGACCATTTTATACACGACTGTATATTATATTAAATAAATTTTATGTTCATATTTACAGTATGTCATAAATTATCTCAATACCATTTTTTACATTGTAAATTCTATATTTTTAAAAACACTTTACTTCAATATAAATTATAAGTATCTAGTATTTAAAAAATATATAATATCATATTGATACGGGGTGAAATTGCAAAAAGATTTAGTCAGAAATTATTTCATAAATTAAATGGATCTTTAAAGGAACCTTCATCATGAAATATGGCTTATACTTGAGACTGGAGCAAATTATATGTACAAAGTTACACGGGTGCTCTTTTTCACCAATTTCTATCGCTAACAACTTGCATTGCAAACTTCCGGTTTGAAAGGCGCGGTGCCATATTAAGGCTATGAAATTAATAGCGATCGAGGCCAAACAACTAAAATTTAAACAATTGCAACTTATGTGATCGTTCGGGCATGACAAAGTAATTTTCTGATACCACTTTGAGGTTTGGGTGGTATCCTTCCAGGATTCCTGTGTTTTTAAATAATGTAATCTCTGAATGCTACTGTTATTCAATTTGTAATAAATTTTACTAATTTACTATCATATCTGAAGATTGATAAGAAATTCAATCGAAACAGATGCACTACAATTCACAATCAAAGGCGTCTTTATTAATGTTAGTATTGCATTTACTTTTCTATTATTTTCATGTCCATTAAAATTGACATTTCACAATTTTAAGTTTATTAACTGCTGTCATTTTTTAAAAAAATTATACGTATTTCTTCAATAATATTATTTATATTCAAGTAAGACATATTTTAAACGTTCATTAAGTAAGTGCCTAGAAAATGTTATAATAAATAAACTAACTGTCAAAGAGAGCGGTTCATATTTTATTATATTTATGCACAAAACACTTTGCCAAACTGCACGTATTTCTATTATACTTCTTCCAAACTATATCTAGGGTTTATTATGTTAATTGAATATTATTTTTAAAGTTTTCAATAAAATATATTAAATTAATAATAATCTGTACTAAACTCTTTATTGTGAGTGGACTCACAGAAAATACAGTTGTATAAATTAACATGAACATAGAGATAAAAGCTAAATAGCGATCTCTTCCAGGCAACCTTAGGATGGAGAGAAGCGATTTTTATGCCTAGTCGGGGTATAACAATAATTACAATGAACTACCTATGTAGGAAAAAATAATAATTTAGTGCACACAATTACGTAATAATTATTATATATATATTATAAATATGTATGCATATATAAGAATACACACGAATATTATATATGTATATAGTATAAAATTAACGATATATAATTACAATAATTATGTTACTTTGTTGATAATTTGCATAGTGATTAATCTTATTTCATGCGAAACATTAATTAATATATATAAAAATAAAATTATATGGGTGCAAATACAGACATACAAGGCGGCCTTATTGTAAATAGCTTAGTATCTTTCAGTCAAGTTCCTTGATATTTGAAAAAAATAGGGTATTAAATGTGTAGACTTTGATTACGGAAAATATTTTTTTTTATTTTCACAGATTTATTTACTGTGTGAAGAGATAGAGTAACGTAGACGTAAAGTTGCAATATGCACGAAACTTACGTCGCCTACGTCAGTGAAATAATTGTAAATGATAAATATTTAGAATCTTATGCAATACGATGGGCATGTAAATGTAGGTAGGTGTAACAATTATGAAAGGAGTTTTTGTGTTTTACGTATCATAGTTTACGGTTCAAATTCAAATAAATATAAATGTAATAACAGGTAGATAGCAGTCGTATTTATAGGATACGACAAACTGATTATATTATAGGTACTGTCTTTATTTACAGACACTTCTTTAATATGGAGTGAATCAGTTATCAGACGCGCCTCCACGTGTAAGTTGATATATTCATATTAGGCGAAGGTCAGGCGGTTGTCAAGGGCTCAAGGGCCTCGGGTTTGTGAATCAGTACAGCCACAGGTCAATATACTTAATACACAGATATAACGCAACGTTGTAAGAAAATTTCGTTATTTCTCAGAATTATGGTAGTTTATAAATTTTCAATCCATTTCAGTGTAGGATATGAGTAGTAACAGTTTATCGGATCAGATACAATTAACTATACCAAAGTATATTTTCAATAATTTTACTATATTTTTACACATAAGTATGTATTTTAACATGTTAATGTATAAATAACAATACCTACTAAATTCTTCGATCGCATACGATTTTATTTTCTAGATAATTTTAATTCATTTGTGTTCTTTTTTATTTTATTAAATTGTTGATCCTCGAAACTGGTAATGTAATTTCACTTCAGAATATATTGTTTATACGATTTATTTGTTATTTTTTGTTATCTATGTTGAATGATATCAGTGGAGATTCATGGATAACAGTATCGTCCTAATTATAGAGCGGATTTTATCTTCTGCTGATGTTTCGGACAAAGTGCCACCGCTGTTTAATAAACAGCGATGCTCTCGAAACTCAAGGGGTCACCGGAGGCTGTCCAGTATATATTAGTACATACATACATAGACATCAACTTGTTAAATCTAAACCATTTATCGTAGTTAGAATTCCAGTTTTTCAGACTAAGGCTACTCTGTGGACAGTGCATGAGTGAACATTTGCATAGAAATTATCATCGTCATTCATCACCTAACCATCATCTATTCATATACACAGGGCTCTTTCATTATAAACTAATGCTCTGAGCCCCATCATTCATTTATTTACAACAACTTATTAGAGTCTGTTAGTGTATTTCGTGAATGGTGATCCTGAATAATCTTAGATTGCATTAACCAATCCGGATTAAGCAAAATAAATTTTAGTAGTGACAATCACATGTAGGCTCCTGTAATTGCCTAAAATTATTTTAAAGAATTGTTTGTATCCCTCAATCGTTTGTGGATAAAGTTAGTTACGTATTATGTTAAGCACTTGAGTAAAATAAATTTTAGATATTTGTAATATTATCATCTAGAATTAATGAACTAATAATTACCTAACGAAGCCATAAAGAATTGTGCAGAATTTGATACTCCGTAAAATGGCGTCTAAGTACGTAGATCTTAAACGAATGACTAAGGTATTTGTGAGATAATATAGTAAGATAGTATATATTAGTATTTATAAGCTGCTGAAATGTTGCAGCCAGTATCCCGAAGTGCGGTGGCTGCCACGAGATGATCGTGGATCGATACGTGTTGAAAGTATCGGACCGGACGTGGCACGCCGGCTGTCTCCGCTGCGTGGAATGTCGCGCCATGCTATCTGGGAAGTGCTTCGCAAGAAACAATCAACTCTATTGCACTGACGACTTCTTCAAGTAAGTTTCTTTTTCGAACTAGCTGATTTTGTTTTACTAATTACATACAATTTAACTTGACTTAATTAATAATTAAGCATATGATATGTTCGGTTTTGGTACGGTACACACATGTTGGTTAAGGTATCCATATTGTATTCTTTTCTAAGACACTCGTATACCCCTGTATGCAATGTGAAGATACAATGCAAATATTATTCAGTATGTCTCTATTATTCAAACTCAAATTTTTCAAATTCAAATTCAAAAATTATTTATTCATGTAGGATATTTTAGCCACTATTTATGATCTACTAAGCAGATCTACTATATATAATCCTAACAAAAATATTTTATTATTATATGTAATGTGAGGTTTTATTCTTAAAAGTCTACTTAACTCATTATAGAAAGAAAGTTATCAACTAATTTGATATATTAAGTATACATATAGGCTAGACAGTACCATAAATACTATATCCTTCTACGTAACTGTAAATACATTATAGGCACAATACAGTACAGGCAAAATATTACAATTAGTGTAACAAATGGAGGTATACTTTGTAAAAAGTCGCCTGCGTGAGTACTTTTATAGAAATACTTAGTATCACCTACTGCAGCCGCCAATGTCAATAGTATTTCGGTTCAAGAGTATCATATACCTGATAAGGCTGAGACTTACAGGATATGGAGGCAACATTTTAGTACTCTGGAATGGCAACACATGAGTGATATCACGGGCGGCACATAATGTCTGGTGTTGGTAATTAATATATAGACAAAGCACAGGACACTTACTTTCATCCGATAAGCTGTCAGCTAGTTTGCTGTATCGATTATATAAAAAATTATTTATTATGTACTAGCTACTCGCCTCGGCTTCGCACGGGTGTATATGTATTATATATATAAACCTTCGTCTTAAATCACTATATCTATTTAAAAAAAACCGCTTCAAATTCCGTTGCGTAGTTTTAAAGATTTAAGCATACATAGGGACGGACATACAGCGACAGCGATGTATCTATGTAATGATGTGAACATAGCTTACAAGTACAATAGCAAGAGAATTCTAATTAAGTGAAATCAATCCTAATTGTATTTTTTTTACGAAATTTGTAATTGGTATTAGAGTATTGCATAACAACTATGTAATATTATGTTATCTGTGATAACAACCAGTATATTAACAAAGATACAGAATAGGATGCACGCAAATTTTGAATAAAAATCTCAAAGCTCTGGATACCACTTACTGAGATCACATTACGAACGTATGTGTTTATATTCAAACTCTCTCACTAATCTTACAACTAAATTAGAACTAGTAAGTAGTTGTAGTAGTCCTTGGATGGGTTTTGGAAATAAGAAAATTTAGCAGTAAATGAAATATTTAAATTAATATGGTTGATACGTTGATATTAGAAAATTACTGAGATACAAAAGTGATATATCCTACATAAAAATGTACTAAAGATTTTTTCTATTATGGCCAGTATTATTCCTTCAACAATGGGATATCCTGAAACAAAAATTTGCTATTTTAAAGATACATTAGGAATATTTAGAAAATATAACTGATAACGTTTAGCATTATACCTTTTAAGCAAACAGCATTGTACCGGATTTCGTGAACTTATCGTTGCCAACATAGTCTTCTATTTATAATCGAGCTTGATAAAATATTCAGCAGTACATTTCCATTTATACTTTTAAAGTTATAAAAAATGTCTACCAAAAAATACTCTATAAAAATATAAATAAATATATGTTTATATCTCAAAGTTTGCTTGGCAGATTTGATTATGTAGGTATTACTTTCGGTTTTGTTTACAATAATAACGGTGGTTTAGGTTTAGGTCTTGGTGTTTTCTAAATACTCAAAAGATCAGTTATATAATACTCATAACACTAGTTCTGCTAAGCTTCGGACTAGATGGCGCTGTGTGAATTGTTCAGAAATATTATTATATTATATAACTATTTAATTAGAAATATACAGAGATTTCTATCAAGATAACTCGATGCTTCTTATTAAGTAGTCGCATTGAACAATTTGAAAAGAAGTAGAAGTACCGCAGGCACTTATATTATTCATTCATAATATTTCTAGAAGTAATTTCTTTTCTGTGATGTTTAAACTCAAACTTGTATCGGAAATAAAAACCTAACATAATCTGGCCATCGCGGTAATTACAATCTTATCCTAAAAAAAATAAAAATGTTTATTTAGTTGAAAATAATCGATTACAATAATACAGTGTTGGTATGTCCTAGTAAGAATAGCAGTGTCTGTGTCAGGTACATCCCGCTTTTCCATATAAGTAATTATGTACATTGTCATATGTGTGTTTTTTTAATAAACAAATATTACGAATCAAAAGTTACTTCTACTATACACATGTAATATTATGTTATCTGTGCTACTACGAAACAGAAGATAAGTTAAAAGTTATTCTATAAGAACTAAAATCTTATCCTATAAGAAGACACTCACCAGAAGATGGTAATTAGTTGATATTGCAATATTATGTTCATTGAATTACGTACTGTCGCGTCGATTCTTATAGATTGTAGTCATTAAAGTCTCCAGTATGTGACCTACTTTATACTGTACACCTTTTATGATTTGTAGACACCTCGCGATAGAGCGATCAGTAGTAATGCCATGATTGATGACAATATACTGTTTATAGATCTTAGCCTTAGATGTTATTATATCGCAGGTTCTAATACGCAAGGGGTTAACAGAACTGAAATGATAAATTATTTGATAAGATATGAAAAACATATAAACTCCCCAATAACTGGAAATACATAAAAGGTATATTATTATCCATTTAGTGTTATCGCTGCTAAAGTCCTATTCACTGATTATGATTGCTTTAAAAATCAGTTGAAACAAGTAATTCGAGTCATTTGAATCACAGCTGTAGTATGGTGTAATAAGATGTGCCAAAAGACAATAGAGACCTCGGTTGTAGATCCTGCATTAATGTAAGTAATTAATTTTTTTTATGTAATATTGTAGGGAAATTAGATATTTCAATAATTTTTATATTGTAAAAAATAAAATCAAATATCAGTATCTAGTAATGCTTAAAAATTTTGTAACTTTATGAATGTACTTAAATATTCTAGTAACGACTACATATCAAATTAATAACAAAGTAAAAATAAAATTTCCGTCTCATTAATATATATACTAGTTTTAATTAGGAATTTGCGTCTTGCCCGGGACAAACTAACTTCACTTTATATACAATAATACACTAATATTACTGCTGCAAACTTTTATGAGGCGTTGGTAGGTGACTTGATAATTTTACCGTCGCTACTTAAACATAAAATAGGTACTAACGAATTTGTTTGAAAATGAATAAAACTAAGGAGTTGAATAATCTAAAAGATATTTTTTGAAAATGCAACACAAAGTATCGTTCAGATTGCTTATGAATAAGTGTACATCGTATATACGTATCTATATACACTTGAATAGCAACACAGAAATTGCCAAATTCATGTATTTTCTGTCTTTCCTTTCCTTCATTACATATATTTTGCCTCCTGATTTTAGATATGTACTTACATATCTTTGTCTGTATTAGATTAATTTGTTTAATTTTAAGTGGTAATCTTATAGATCTATGATGGATTATTGATGCAATATTACACATCTTTTATATAAATATTGATAGGTCTTTCTACTACGTAATAAAGTCAAAGTAACTAAGTACCTACATCTTTAAAATAATGTACCCTCCATTCTCTGTATCTGAGTCAATATTAATAACATGTTGTCTTCTTGGCTACTTATATGTTGAAAATCTTACTAAGATTCACATTGTGTTATAATTTATAATTATAATTGTTCCATGTTATTATTAATGCTGGTATAAATCCACACCCATAAAGAACGACCAAAAACAATAGAAGATGCGCGCATTCACGTGCTTATCTAACCGTGATATCTATGATATATAGGTACACTACGTTAAATTACCTATATCTATGATATATAGCTACACAACATATGAAATTAAATTGAATTAAATAAAAAATTAATACTAATGTACTGTAAATCAACCTGTTATGGTTCATAATAAGAGAGCATGCACATTTTCACATAAAAATTGTTTTGTTGGATTTGCATATGCTGACAAAATATTGAGAAAGAATCTACGTAAACAATTCCTAATGTATAATAATATTACTTCCAAATATGCCTTGCTAAAAATAGTTACATAGTATCATACAAAATACATTTTGTTGTAAAAGTTTAGTTCACAAAGGAATTTGGAGGGAAATTTAAAACACCTACATTTTTATTTACGAACTAGCTGTTTCCGCGACTTTGTCCAGGTGGAATTTAACTTTATTTTTCTAAAATACAAAGAAAATCTAAAATAAAAGTAGCCTAAGTTACTCCTTATTACATCAGCTACCTGCCAAAAAAGAGTCGTTAAAATCGGTTCAGCTATTTCAGAGATTAGCCGGAACAAACAAGCAGACAAAAATTGTATTTTTGGTGTATGTACCGTATTTATATTCATATGCATGTAGTAAAAATGGTTACTTCAATATTACAAACAGACACTCCAATTTTCACTCCATTTAAAAATAGAGTTGTAACAGTCACTCTAATATGTATATTTATAAGAAGATACAAGTGAATAAACTATTATAATATGAAAATTCGTCTATACAAATCCTATCTACTTATATAGGTACCTATAAAATATTCTTGTGTATAAAATAGATTATTACTCTACTTTATATCTCTTATGACTGAAGAGAAACGTCGTTACGTCGAAAAAGTATCCATAATTAGGAATAGAAATAAAACATTCACCTTCGTAAAAATATTAAAAATGGTTCATTTAATTATTATTAAATGTTACTATTGTAACATTTACAGTCAGAGAAGAGCTTGAAAATTCTGATGGTATGTCTTCATAGGTTATATGACAGCTGTAATATATTACATAAATTATCCTAATTGGAACTTAGTATAATTGTGAGTTTACCACGTTGATAATGTTGTTATTGTTGCGGCTGTTGTCCCAGGCGGTTTGGCACCAAATGCGCAGGCTGCGGGCAGGGCATCCCGCCGACGCAGGTGGTGCGCCGCGCCCAGGCCCATGTTTACCACCTTCGATGCTTCGCGTGCGCAGCATGTGCCCGCACTCTGAACACCGGCGATGAGTTCTACCTCATGGAGGATGGGAAACTTGTCTGCAAACCTGATTACGAGGCGGCCAGAGTAAAAGGTGAATTAGAAATTAGAAATTTGTTATTTTTATAATGCATAAAACATATATATATATATAATTTATTAATGATGTAAATCGGTATTTTTCAAAGTATGGGTTGCGATTCCTAGAGAGGATTTCTTCGCGGGTAAATGAAAATGACTGTAATTTATGGATCTTGGACTGCAATAAATGTACAATTTTAGATTTATACGTTTTAAAATTTTTGACAGTTCATAGGTTTAGCTTAGTGCTTTTGGAGTCATCTGAACAATTCATCTTTCATGTATGTAATGGTTTAGAAAAAAAGTAATGTATGTATGTCTCTCGATTTTAGTTTAGAGTTTAGTTTTAATATATTCATATATTAATTTGTTTTATAAGTACGTAGGCACGTCTAAAACGTCTAAAGTTATTCTAACTTGTTAGTACCGTCTCCTATACACTTTACTAATGTATAAATTATGTATATATTCAGGTTTGAATAGAATATTACAAAGTAATTGTGGTGCAACCATTATTAAATAATAAAAAAAAATACGGTTTATTTTAGAGGATTCTTGGCATTTATATATAGATATAATATTGTTGTTCATGGCATGTTTACAGATACAGCTATTGCAGTTAATAAAAATAATTGTAGCTTAATAGCTTTAATATTTAATTGTGTTCCATGAACTGCCTCTATGGACTAAATATATTTGTATTAGCAATATCCCTAGTAGAAAAGTCTAAATTGTATTGGATTAAGTAACGTGAGAAGTAAATAACTTCGTAATAACTTGTAGCTTATATACCATTGTATTAACAAACTAGACATAGAGCAATGATGATCTGCACGCAGTGCGCATTTAACGACGTTAGTTTTGCGCGGGAAAAATAAATATTTGAGAACTAAAAGAATTCAAAGCTATTTCATGGGCATTGTCAGGGTCAACAAAAGAATCTACACCAATCCGATTAAAAATAATAACCCTAACATTGCCCATGAAATGACTTTTAATTTTTTTTTACTAACGGTTATTGCTAACAGAGATATACTGTCTATAAAGGCTGGTCTATTTTAGTTGTCAAATTTTACAATGTTTTAAAGTGGATCCAACACAGGCGGGGAAGGTTCGCTCGATGGGGACGCGGCGAGCAAAAGGCCGCGGACGACCATCACGGCGAAGCAGTTGGAAACTCTGAAGAGTGCGTACAGCAGTAGCCCAAAGCCAGCGCGGCACGTGCGGGAGCAGCTCGCCCATGACACTGGTCTTGATATGCGCGTCGTACAAGTCTGGTTTCAGAATAGGTAAATCTAACTCATTCTGTACTTTTTTTTTAATTCGAACTAAATTAACTGCAGCAACAAGTATCACTAAGCTAAAAAAGTAATGTGATTGAAAAATCGATACGATTTTGTATGTAATGGAAATGATAAACAAGCTAAAAGCCTACTTGATGGAAAGTGACAATCGAAGCATGTATACATGAACAACATTATGAACAAGTAATACATTTAATTAGGAAAGGAAGTTTTAGTTCCACATATATATTTGTGTAGAGAATTACATTTAACAGTTGACAAAGAATGACTTTAGCTATAAAATAACGATGGATGATATGACATAAAATAACAATAATGGAATAATAATTATTTTAAAGCCTAGCAATCTACTACTAGAAATAATTAAAAACAAATATTTATTCCGTACTCTTCTATTGACATTTAGTCGTCATAGTAGAACTAAGTTATATATCATGGCCTTTAAATCAATTTTGTAATTCGGTTTATGGTTACAGTTACGGAATTTTATTTAGTTAAGACTCTTAATAGAATTTGTTACGCTGAACTAATGTTTAACCTATCCATATAAAATGAATAATGTGAACATTCATAATCGATTCTACATACATCAAGTACCTAAAAGAAAGCTAGTTAACACAAATGATTTTGAAATGGCTTGTGCTTTAACAAGACGTAAACAATGATAAGATTTTTACGACTAGATTCTTGCAGCTAGACGTTAAAATTTCGATGAACAATTGATTATTTATGGCTATAGTGAAACTAATGCACAGTCACTAAAGCGGCGTTGAAAATGAATGATAGACAACAAAAATTGTTTTGGTCCGCTACATCAATTAATTAATAGATACATATTATACTTGAACCCATGTTTAAACTTACCTACAATTGTAGTGTTTTCAGTTTGGTACTTACACATTATAAATACCTATTGAAAATATCGTTATTTATAATCTTTAAATTCCATATAGAAAGGATACGTGATTAACAAGAAACAAATAGGAAACGTAATGCTAATTTTGCATCCATGAACTAACAGTAGTTGCAATAGACATTTTATCATTGTATTTGACTATTAGTGACTATTTATTCCAAATACGTAAAGGCTATTTTTTCTGAATACTTGATTAGTATGAATTGTGATATGAGTCATCAGAGATGTTACCATCACAAAGGATATGTTATGACCTTCGAAGTCAATAGAGGATAACATTTAGTCCGTATTGTTAGATTCAACGTTTGCTAGGTTGCCTGGTATTTGTGATTTTCATAGTAGTTGCGGAACAATGTTGTGTTGCGCGCGAACGGTCACAGTCACGGCAGTGGTCACGCCCTGCACATTGGCCTCGCCTCGTAAACCTGTACGCCGATATCCACAATCGACTTTTCCATTTTACGACGCCCCAACCAATATTTATACTATATATAGGTAGTATCATAGCTATATGGATAAATGTAGGCACTGACTGCGTATGATTTAATATGCGATTGAAGGATTATGGGTAGAATTAATGTCTCATACCGACGTAATCTATTTCATAACATACAATATATAGCATAACATCTTTATGAGTACAGATAAATAGGTTATATTATATAAGCGATGAAATTACTATCTAAAACTTCTGCCTATATTAATTTAATTAATCAACCACAACGAATAAACTTCCTAAAACTTTATTTTTATTATAATTAACAGGATTCTATTCTCTGTTTTTTATTTATATAAATTTATAGATATCTGACAATTTAGCTAATACCTAATAATCACTAAGTATTATATACGTAGTAGAAATAATGATATAATGTATTTATACTTGTTTTAGTACCTTATCGAAAATATTGAATTATTTCATCACTATATATCTTATGGTCAAAGAACAAAGCGATAGAATATGTAGAGCTTACGAAACGCATTTCCTGAACTTTTATGAAGTAAAATTGTGTACTTTTATTAAAACTTTTTATACTACTGTTAATTTGAGACCGAGGTTAAACGAAAAGCGTTCTCTACAATTCCCTCAAAGAAGGCAATTTAGGGCGTTGTTTTAATAATCCGATGGAGCTATAACCCAGCACGAGGCTCCCAGTGGACTGGGCGGAGGCACTTTAATTAATCAAGCTCTTTGTTGAAAGCCCGCGCGGCTCCCCGCCGGCTCACTAATAACAAACCAGCATAACATGCGCACCCGATGGGGTGTTTTGTTTGTGCTACATATTACATGATTATTTGTTTAAATCGAAACCAATCGGGGCGATAACAATTGTCATAACGGGGAATCAGAATTCACCTAAATATGTACTTGAGTTTGTACAACGTTAAGTTTAATTTATTTTAAGTTTACTTTTAATTTATTCTAACATTTCATAATTAGTCAAAATTATCTCCATTTAATCGGCATAAGCTGTTTTATGAATGGGATGATATAATACCTAAAATTGTCATGACATCAGCACAGTATTACTTAAATAATATACATATCTCAGTAGGTAGGTATTAGGAAAAAAGTGTATTCTACGTAGAATATATTATCGTGTTCGTGTGTGATATATGTTATGTATTTATATATATATATATTAATTCATGAGAAACAGTATATGTAATATAGTTTTATATGCGCTATAATACATGAACATTCTAATAGCTTTATTTTACGTAGGTCCTAAGCACTAGCAACAGAATGTATTCCTAATGAGTATCCTTATTGATTTTTTATTCAGAGGTGCTGTAATAGTGTGTTTTAACTACTGTTGATGAGTCTAATTTTCTTCATAATATATTGTTATAACTTATAAAAGATATTATTGTAAGAGACTCATATGTTCTGTTTATATGTAGTTATTCACATTATATATCAGAGTTATCTTTTTTGTAACATTCGGATATACAGATGTTGTTACAAGCACGTCTCTACGTTCTACTATTCATTATAACTACCCTCTAAGGGATTATAAATCGTGTAAAGATTTTTTAAGCACTCACTATATAGTTTATTATTTAAATATACAGGCGGGCGAAAGAAAAACGTCTCAAAAAGGATGCCGGCCGTACACGATGGTCTCAATACTTTAGATCGATGAAGAGTGGGGGTGGTGGTTCTCCGCGACATGATCGTCTGCTCGATAAGGACGAACTTAAAATTGATCTGGATTCCTTTAGCCATAACGGTTAGTATATTTTTTAGCGAACTGTAATATTTTTTACATATTTTTAAGATCTAGACCTAAAAAGTTAACTCGAGAACGGGAAAGATCAAGTATAGAATAAGACATTGTGTAGATACAAAAATATAGACAGTCCCATTGTGTAGTGTCCATCGGAACTAAATAATTATATTCTTAAATTAAAATGAGGTTCAATTTTTTAAAATATTTCGTCTACAATGGAAGTAATAAGTTTTTAGAATAGGTATTTAATAATCATTAAAATATCTGAATAGATATGTCATAGATATGTCACCTACTGGTCAATAAGTTATTCGCGAATATTAAAAATATACCATTATTTAGAAATTTTTATAAGTTTGAACATTATTAAGGATCTATTGTCAAAGACTATAGGTACATCTATAACCACATGCACGGGCTGTCGCATAGGCAATAGACAAATGATATAATGTATTTATATGCATATTTAAAACAAAATGTAGCGTTTTACACTGCTTCTCTATATAAACGATAAGTATGCGTAATTTCACTTTTCCGTCCGTGCAATTTTGTACAAAGTTCTGTACAAAATTTTTGTTTGACGTATTAGCTAGCGTATCGTTCCGGTTTGTATTATAATTTTTTTAATTTCTCGGTTTTAATTTATACCATAACACTTATGTCACATGTCTTATACATATAAACCTTCCTCATAAATCACTCTGTCTACTGCTCAAAATTGCATTAAAATTTGTTGCGTAATTTAAAAGATATAAGCGAACAAACAGCGTGGGTAACTTTGTTTTATACTAAGTAAAGATAATTAATATGCAGAGTTAAGCAACGACAGCTACAGCACGGTTGCACTGGGCGGCGAGGAGGGCTCGCCGGCGGGCGGCGGCGGTGCGGGCGTGGCGGGCGGCGCGCGCTACGCCGCCACGCCGCCCTACCTGCGGACGCACTCACCGCCTCATCCACACTACCACTACCCGCCTGACCATCTCGTCTACACCAACATAGGTATATAGAACTAAACTTACACTACGAAACTAGTCGCTTTAGTATTATGAAATTAAATATGATTTATTTAGATTATTGAACGGTTCTGTTATATTTGGCTGATATGACAATGAAATTTCAGTGATGTATTATATCTTAGTCCTCAAGGAGGGCAACGCATTAAGTATGAATTATTAGTATTATCTGTACTACACATACTATTGTAGTAATACCTACGATGACGTGATATCCGGGGTGCTGTATACATATATATAAAATATCAACACGGTTGTTACTTACTGTCAGATGAAACACATTTGAAATGCCACTAACCTAAAAAACATCTATTGCTATTGTAGAGAAAAGACGATGTACCAGAGGTAGACTGTAAGTCGTCTGCCTCAGTCTCACCTATTTTAATCGCTAGCCAGCCTACTTTGTAGGTTATGTTTCGTTTGTACGCTTTATTGCCTAATGCCATTCCAATAATATAAAAAAAAGATTGTGTTTCGCCAGTAGTAGATCTTGAATAATACTATTTTCTTTCAATAGGTCAAGCAATGAGTGGGGCTGGCATAGGTGGCACAGGCGCAGGTGGAGCTTCGGACTTGAGTAGTTCTTCGTCACCAGCAGCAGGTGGATATCCTGACTTTCCCCCGTCACCGGACTCATGGCTCGGTGAACCTCACCACTACTCACCGCGAGGCTTTCCCTAGCGGCGGCCACCGCCGGCGCACGCGCAGCCTGCGCCCCCGCCGCTTCCCGCGCCCTTCCCTCAAGGCCTCGCACAACCACTTGAGCTAGTGGTCAAGCGCGAGCTGTGATCGTCAGGATATTATCTCTATTAAGAAGTTGTCTGAATAACAAAAATACTATGGGGAAGTTACGAAAGGGGTAAAGGTATGACGATTGTGATTGGCATTATACTCACATTTTTGTGATTCCAAATGACATGAAAATTAGATGCTTTTTCAAGTTCTTTGAAATCACAAGTTACAGAACTTGGAATTTAGATTTGATTTATTATAATATATTTTTATTTGCCATGTAGTATTTTTACGGATGTTTTTAAATTTTTATTATTCTACAGAAAGATATGTATATATAATGTGAGAGTCCAACTACTTCTTAATAACATACTGATTAATGTAAAACAGAACTCTTGATAATTTCTGTCTGTTTAATAATAATGTATATAATAATGTATATAGGTTTGGCCCTCACCAAGATATAAAACTTGTAAAGAAAATAGTTTTTAATCTGTGTAGTTTTCAAACACAAAATTGAGAAAATTTATCGCCTTATGTCTAGACGGATAGAAATATGTGTAAATATGGTACTGCAGAAATATAAAACGTAAGCTCTTTTAGTCAATTTTTTTTTAATTTATTATGTATTTTTAAAATGAAATCACTTTCATTATTTTACTGTATTTTAATTACAGATTAAGCTTAATGATACAAGGAGATAGTACCTATTATAATACTGTACATAAGATTAATGTGATAAATATAAGTAATATAAACTAAGTCCATAGTGATTAAAATACTTTGTGCAAAAAATCTAGTCGACAGATGAATGGTACATATTATACATAAATAATTATACACACTAAATATGCTACATTATTTTGAGTTTTATTTACAAATGGTTATTTTATTTCATGTATTTATAATTCAGTCGTAGCCACTCCCCAGTACTGTTGCATTCGACCTTCAAGATCTAAAGAGTCTTGAGATTGAGCTGTCTTTTCCTGTATTACAGCAAAATCATACTCTAAGTGATAAGGCATTAAACGTTGTAATGATCCGAAATATGCAGCATTTGGACCGCCATTGGGTAATCTTCCTGAACCAAAACGAAAATCGGGTTTTAACGCTGTTCCAAAAGACCTAGCACTGCCAAAATGTTTGGATAAAAATGGAACGCCTTTAGGTTGCTTGCCAGATAAATGAAGTTGTGGACTACTGCCCGATAAACCTTTAACATTTCGTAAACTGCTAACATTTGATTTTATTCCCTTCGAAAGATTGTCTAATTCCTTGTCAAATAACATCTGCGTGTTTTGTTCTAACATATACTCCCAACATTTGAATTGTTCATCCGACGACGGTAGTTCATCGTTTCTTGAATCATCTTCTTTGTCTTCCTCAACACGTACACGTATTGCACGAGCTACTCCTCCACGGCAACTTCTCCGTTCAGAGGCTCTATTTTGTGATCGCACACTGGAATAATGTTGATGACTCACTGTTTCACTTGGTGGACGATCACTTTGACCGCTGGGTGATGATCGATCACTACCTGGTTTGGGCGGAGTAGTAGAATGACAACATGCCTCTATCCTTGAGCAGCAGCAATCAGGTCTGCATACCGATTTATTATTACTACATATGGTTTGTCTTAACTCTCGCATTAGTAAATCAACATCAGCACGAGCAGTATCAAATCGTATAACCTGAACTGAAATGCAATCTTCTATACCGTAGCTCTGGGCTAAATCTTGCAACCTTTTTGCTGCAAGTACTGGATTTCGTTCAGCTCTCACTTCAGATACTGCAGTATCTATGCTAACTGCGTTCCAAAATTTTCCATTACCCATTATTAAAAACTCATCATCTTCTTTAATAACTGTTTGAATCACATCAGGGTCGGGTATTGTATTAGGATAACGAGATGAATACCCTAAACGTTTATTATTTCCTAAACCTAAATTTAAGGGTCCATTTCGTCTACTCAATATAGCCTTAGTATCACCCACGTTAGCAAGTTTCAAATTATATCGCTTAGACATTTGTCCAAATCCATTTTCTGGTAATGACATTGGTGTTAAATGACACATTATCAAGCAGGCGCCTTTCTTTTGGCCTTTTTCTTTTAATTCTCTGTGTGCGGATAACACAACATATTTCATGTATTCGCTTACAGTCTCTTTTATAGACTTTTCCTCGAGTAGAAGCCCAGGTAAATTTTTCTGTAATATCTTTGGAACTTCTGTGTCATTTTCACCATCAATAATTGCAAATAGTCCTTCTTTATTACAAAACGATGGTAATCTAATTTGAGCGCAACATAACTGAAGGGATTTATTAGGGCATTCTGAGAAACCTGTAGTCCATGGAGCTGATCCACTTAGTTCTTCATGATAACCACTTTTTTGCGTATATGGTAACGAATTCCTACCAGTAACATCAACAAGACTGAGAGGTCTTTGACATCTGTACACATGAAATTGCGAAGGATCAATCTGCAATTTTTTATTACACGAAATATCGAGGAATTTTAATTGCTTTGGAGCTAATAATCTTAAATCTATACTGTCCAGTTCATTGTGTGCGAAATCTAAAATTTTTACAGATGCACTGCAAGCAAACATGGGAACTGATTTCAATCTGTTGGAGTGAGCGCGTACAATTCTGATATTATTTAGTTGTGGTAGATTTTCTGGTAGTTTTAAAAAAGAATTTCCTGATAAAACAAGTTCCTCAATTTCAGGCCAGAAATTAACGCAGCTATCAGGTAAATTGGTCAAGCAATTGTACGCAATATGTAATATCTTTAGCCCACGAAATGCGATAATTACATCAGCAACATTATCAGTTAGACAGTTCGCTGTTAGATAAAGTCGTTCTAGACAGTGCGAGGATGGTCCACGGGCGTGAGGTAATCGATTCAATTTATTATTAGATAAATTCAATATTTGCAATCTATCACAAACAGAAAAAAAGTTTTCAGGTAATGCCTGTATACAGTTATCATGTAGTAATAGTTCTTTTAATGGAGCTCTTAATCTCGGCATTGATGGAATGTTGGATATTTTATTATGAGCCAGATGCAGTTTACTGAGACTAGAGAGTTCACTACAGAATAAGTGTTCTGGTAGCGATGTTAGCTGGTTATTGCTGGCATAAAGTGTTGTCAGATCAGAGCAACCACTCAGCCAATGTGGTAGTGAAGTCAGTTTATTATGAGAAACATCAATTTCTATTAAATTTATAGGCGGAACTGTACTTGTCAGTGTTTCTATTTCTGAAAAGAAAAAGAATAGTGTATAAAAGTAAATGATCAATAAGTTTATATTATTACACGCATACTTTTTATTATTCATGATAAGTTATAAATCTTTTTCTCTTTTTTATTGTGTCAATTAAACCACTTTTGCTAACACTCGTCATAAATTAGGATCAAAAAAATAGTCAATAAAAAATTATGACTATATACAGACTATGTACAGCTGTAAGAGCTGTCACAGTTATTTCATATTATTGTAATTGATATGTTTATATGATAATTTAATATAGAATGAAGGAGTGACTTTTTCCTGAATCTACCTATTTCTATTTTTCTATTTAAAATTTAGAAAATGCCATTGGCCAGAAAATTGACTCATCCTGTGCTTTCTCAGAACCTCCAACCTTCATTCATCAACTATCCACAAAATGTATACCACTTAAAATATCATGCAAGTGACTTTGGCTGATTACTCCTAATGTAAAAATTCATATTTGTAGTTGCACTTACGGTTATGGGGTGCTCGCAATATACGTAGTGAAGCACCATGAAGTGCTAAGTGCTGAAGGGAGTTGTGTGCCGCGTACAGCTCTCGGAGCCCTCGCAACGCTGATACCACCAGTACTTCCACGGCATTGTGTGACACATCCAGGGACACCAGGTGCTATAAAAACAGAAAATATTTTACGAATTTAACTCATTTCAGTCAAGTATATATAGTACCTACCTAGTACCTACTAGTAGTAGTATATATAGTACCTACTCCTGTATTTATAGTAATTGTAAATTAAGGAAGTTACTATTATTCATATTTTTAAAAAGTTTTTATGGAATAATAATTATACCGTGAAGACCGAAAATCGTCTTATTACTAGACTTAAATATCTGTTGGACTAAGTACCTATTTTCGCAGGATAATAAGTAATAAAGTAACTTATTTCAAATCTGAGTTTACAGTAAACTGTAGTAACTGAATTATTTAGCTAACAAAAGGGGTTTCAATGTCAATACTTGCATAAATTAGTAAATAAATAAACTAAGTTAACATTATATTAAACGGAACTTACTTCATAATTACCAAGTATAATGCTTCCTTTCAATTTGTTATGGCGAAGGTCTACGCTAGTGAGTGGTGCGCGGTATTCAGTCTTATTTTCTTCCTCAAGGCCCATTTGTAGGTCACCAGACTATAACGAATAAATAAAGAAAAATTAAATGTCATTCATGTTTTAAAGATATTATCTTTTATATAAGGAAGGTATCCAGAACCATTCCAACTATTTTAAGAATTATTTACCATTAAAAATCAATTTAAATAGCCATACGCCGTATAGTATACGCCTATATATCGTTCAATATATAGACAAGTTCGCACGGGCAACAGCCCGTAATATAAAATGTAGTACAGTATATTACTCATAATAAAGTGCTAGATGATGGTATTAGGGAAGGTCTAATACCTAAAGCTTTTATTAAGAAAGAAAGAAAGAAAGAAAGAAAAATATTTTATTAAAATTGTCTTTTTGAAATGGGGTTGTAAAGCAGATGCAATTTTTAACTTCCAATATTTTCAAATGTTTGTAGAGATGTTTTTAAAATGATTAAAAATACCTCAACAAACATCTGTTTTTATCTATTTTTTATATTTCTAAATAGTAGTAGACTTGATTACCTAATATGTAATAAGTATGAAGAAACGTTACGGTAATTGTAAATTGTTAAAGAATTCCCATAGAAAGTAATTATGTACAATTATTTAAAGGCATGTTTAAAAAAAACTTGCCACCAGAGAATATACTGCACAAAAAAAATATAAAATGTTTAATACTAACTCCAAAAGTGGTAATCAAATTGTGGTTAGCAACTAGGGTCCTTAGTCGCGGCAGTCTTAAGATGCAATCAAGTGATATCAACTCGTTCTCACTCACATACAGCTCCTCCAACCTGAAATTAAAGTTATAAACACTTTTAGTACTGACGAAAACTTTAACTCAAGAAGTGACTTTACACAAGCTAAGTTTTTCCTGGTAAGTCGTAAGGCGCTAATTACAGAAGTTTTAAACTTGAAGATGTCGGACAAGAAAGGTAAGTTTTGAATAAACAATTATTCGGGAATATAAAAGTAAAAAAGAATACCTAAACATATATTATAGAGGAGAAAAGATTTTATTTATGTTTTCCTAATACTAAAAACTACATAATCGGAAATAAAAATTCATTTAAATATCTACACTCAGACGAATATGTGGCTAGTGTTACGTAGAGTCGTTTAACTACTATGTATATACATATGATAACTATGTATGTACTAATATTGGAAATAGAAAACATTTTTAAATCAATTACATTACTGTGTTCAACTTATTACACTTCAAATAACTACAAAGTTGAAATTCGATATGATGTTATGTATTTGTCTACTTATGGAATTCTCCGAGGTTTATTCCACAAGTGTATATTGTCATATCTGTTTTTTATTTACACTTCTATAACATTTTGATATGAATCGAACATATTCTATAGTAGATACGTACCTTTTGGCATCTGCCAGTTGGGAAAAACCGACAATATGTATTTAGCGCGCAATGTATAAGAATATAGTTATGATTGATTTTAAAGTTCTTATTTATTGTATCTATAATAGAAAGAGCCTAAGTCTCTACTTATTAGCTATGCCGTTATATCGCAAAAGTTAGCTTTTTGAGGCCTAAATTTCAGATATTTTAAGGCACGTTTTGATCTACATATTTTCCTATATAAATTTATAATTTATTAATTTTATGAAATTAATGACATAAACACACACAGAATTAATATACTATGTGCAAAATACAATTGAAATGAGTATTAATATATACCTACTACAGCCGGAGTAGAGTCTGATGTGTTTGTTGCGTAAGTTTTATTTAACACAATAGGGTTTTGTAGATTCATATAGTTCCTCGGAGGAGACTGGCCGTATGTTAATACGTGGCCCACAAGATCGTGAACCGTGTCGGTTGAAATTAAAAGTATGTAAGTACATATATACATACATTGTTAAGAATAGAAATTATATACCTTAGTACTTAGAATAAATTGTTATTAAAACGATATATTACAATTAACGAGGTACTACTTATTGAGCAAACATTTTCTTCATTGTAGCATACAAAATCTCTTTAGATTTGGTATATATATCTAATATAGCCAAATTATTAAATCTACATTTACTAATATTATTACTGCATATTATCAAAATAATCATAAATTATTAGGAGGACTGAATTGCTGACTATTAACTAGTTATTAGACAAACAAACAGCAAAATGAGTAAAGAACATATTCTGTTTATTCACATTAACGATTATTATTATGAGAGTAACGACTAGAAATTTCATAATCACTGTTGATTATTCAAAGATAGTAACTGTAGAAGGCTTTATTTATTAGTAGGTAGTGAAGAAATAACTTCACAAATACACTATAAGTATATAATTTTGTACTGTTAACTGCATAACAATTTTATATATAAAATGTACTGATACTCTCAAAAGTTGTTAAAATTGCCCAATGGTTTCTAAGAAGTAGAACGAAAAACTTCATTATTTCGTCAACTATTAACACATTATTAATAAACAGATATTAAAGGGTTTGTTAAACTGGCTAGTTAGACATTAAATTTTTTAAATATATATTTAATTTTTAATGTACCTACATTCAATGATGTACGAAGTCCTAATAATTAATAAAATTAATAAATAAGTATTAACTCACCGAAATTATAATCGTAGATTACTCATACAAAACATTTAAACAAGTCTGGTAGGTACTTTCAGAGTCCTAACCACCCTCTGCGTATCAAGTATAATCCATCACTTACTACGCTGTATTACTGTACTATCAATTTATAAATTACAGGTACCTATTTAATTAAAACCACACAGATTTTAGCACAAGCTATACAAGTCAAGTGGATGCGCGGACTGACCACGGAGTATGCGCCTGCGACGCCCCACTGCGCTCGCTTCTCGGGCGCAATCCTCTGTGATCCATTGGTATTACATACACATTGTTGTTAGAATTTATCTATGAAAGAATCTATCTAATGCAATACTATTTAACCATGAATTGTATCACTTATTGCTGTTAGTTTCCCTTTCGAAAATCTTACAACATGTACATAAACAAGCTTTGAGCTTGTAGCTCGATTAGCTTAGCATACCTACGTAACGATTGTAATAATCTGGTGGATATCAGTAGAAGATGATTGGATGAGGATAATCATGACTTTGGCTTTATTTCTAGTTAGTTTAAAGTTGAACCTAGTAAAATATGACGATTAGTTTAGTGATTTTAGTACTCGTAACAATCCGCTCTCCCGTGGCAGATACGTTAGGTTAGTGCTTACTTATATACCTTCACTTGAAAATATCAGATATGCAGCTGGCATCGCAACATTTCACAAGTTACTATGTTCAATTTTCTATTGCATTTGAATATTATAATTTATAATATAATAGTCGGTACTTTGCTTACGGAACCATGAACAAGACATAACTGTTTGAGCACAGAGATGTAACATACAACTTCTTTTACTACTTTAAACATTAGATATTAGGTTAATTGCAATGATGTTTGAAATAAATAAACATATATACAAACAGAAACTTACTAATTTGATATATCATTTTCATGGTCATAACAGCAGTCTGAAAATGGATTAGATAGCCAGGCCTCAACTACTACACATACTACAGGAAAAGTGGAACAATATTTCTGTTAAAAAATACTTAAATTTACGATTTTAAACACTATTTTATAATCATAGTTAAGTTCAATAAAAACACGACAATAACAAGCCATAATATCTTATTGTGAATAATGTAGTGGCTAAAATGTGTATTATATAACTTACCACATATTTACTCAACCAAACATTATTATTAACTAAATCTAAAAATATGAGTGCTTGTATACCTACTCATAGTACACAGTATTGTATTCCCTTGGTGTGCGGTTCCGCTAGCATTGGTTTTATATCTTTTATATGAAAGGTACTCAAGAAAAAGAAGAAGTAAGATACAATGAAATAGTTGGAAATTTTAAGATTAGTTAATTAAAGATTTTATTTTAAAACCACAACAAAATATTAATTAACTGTCTTTAACCAACTATATACTTAATTGCTATCTCTCAAAATAGGGACTGTATATAAAATTTATTAATCATAATTACCTCTAATAGAATGAAAATTCTTAGAAGTATCTAGTAGTACACAGAGTAAAAGACAGATGAGAACAGCGACTTTGTTTTATACTTTTAAAGACATCTGCGTTGTAACATATGTTATCTGTGGTTGTAATAAGTTACATATAGATATAATCATATATGACGGCCTCTGTGGTCCTGTGGTTTAGCACACCGCTTTACATCCGATGATCGCGGGTTCAATTATTCGCACAATGCAAACATTTGTATTCATAAGTATGACGGTTTGTATTGGTCTGAGTGTTTCTTATGTATGTATATACCAAAAAAATAAGTATTTCTATCAGTTGCATAATACCACAATAACAGTGTGTGATGTGTGTTGTGATGATTTTTTTTAAATAATATAAATAATTATGATATGATGTTGATCAAAAGCTTTGAAATGTCTGGTAACAATTTTTACACGTGGATTGATTATTATCTGATAGGTTGTAGGTAGATAATAACTATTTTTTTACTGTATCCATCATAGATAAATAAATACAATGCATGTGTCCTTGAAAGTTAGTGGAAGAGTATCTAGTCATTATCTGATAACATCAATGAATTATTAGTACCTAAATCCTTTATGACTTCCGTACTCTATCTCCGTAAACAATAAAGAGAACGTGTACCTTATCTACTACAAGTAGGTATACTATAGCAAGATGTATTTATATCTATTGATAGACGATATTAAGAATAGAATAGAATAGAATAGAATAGAATAGAATAGAATAGAAAATCATTTATTCAAATAAACTTAATTTAAGCACTTTTGAATAGTCATAACAATTTGTTTTTTATCTACCACTCGTTCGGAAAGCTGTCTCATCACAAGAAGAACGAGCAAGAAACTTGTGTGTTGCTCTTTTAAATAATCCTTGTAAGTTTACATTTACAAGTCGAAACGTGTGAATACAAACTACCAACAAGCACTAATTTTTGGGTCAAATATAAATATGCAATAAGATTAAATCAGTCGTAGTGATAAGAGCAGACCAGTCCCTACAAGCAGCACTCGTTTCACGAGTATGACGGATGAGCCAGCCATCACTGCGCTCGACCATATTTTAGGGAGCCCAATGACCCGGCCCACCACGCCGCCACATGTCTGGACATTTTAGTGAGCATGACTACTCATTCCACACGACCACGTCACAGCTACAAAAATTACTATATGGTAGTTACAGTATTCGCACTTTACATACGGATGCATGCGGCAATCAATATAAAAGCCGCTACGCTATCATATATCAAGAAAGCAGTATGAAAATTAAAATTATAACGTTGTCCGCAAATAAACTTATTCTTGCTATATATTGCTATCATCTATAAATTCATCTATTTTATAATAGGCTTTTTTACATAACATTTGTTTAATATAAGATTTGAATTGCCTCTCTGTAAGATTTAGCGTAGACTCTGGCAGTTTATTATAGAATCTTACGCAATTACCATAAAATGAATTACTAACTTTGTGTAGACGACATTTAGGTAAAATTAGCTTATTTTTATTGCGTAAGTTTCTACTTGTACAGTCTTTAAGTTTCTTGAAACTATCTAAATTTTTCCTTGTATACATAATATTTTCATAAATGTACTGTGAGGCAACGGTGAGGATATTTGATTGTTTAAAGCATTGACGTAATGACTCTCTAGAACCCATACCATAAATAGAACGTATGGCTCTCTTTTGTAAAATAAATATA